ATTGCTGGTTGACTTTGATTGGGATGAGCTGTCTTTGAGCCATTAAATAGCTCTGAAACCATGAAAAACTGTCCTTTTCCAGGTTTGTGGGAATATTATTATTCTCAGGTGATAACTACAATGGAAAATAAAAATTTAAATAGCTTTTATTAGCAAAGACTGGACAATCTGGGTTATTTGATCACAATTTTACTTAGCATTGTAGATTTTGGATTGCCAGTGAAGGTAAGTGCAGAAAAATCCCCATCCCCATTAAAATAGATGTATCTTAATGAGGTACATTTCTTCCATCTTTCCCTTCTATTCCCATTTCCATGAGCTTTCAAGGGCCTGACGGATAGATTGTTGTATAGAAGTTTTACTTCATTCTAGTGGAACAATCTGAAAATTACTCTTTGAGATAAACATCAGCACCTTCCCCTTCTTAAACCTCTGCTATAGATAAACAGAGACTGAGAGTACTCTTGGTTGGTTCCAGAAGGCAGTCTGTATCTCACATCTAAAAAGAGCACTGCGTGAAGCCCTGAAGTTCCTTCCCTTCCCCTCCCCATGCTGATTCCTTGGTCTGAGATTACAATGCAGGAATTCCTTGTGAAGCCAGAGCTGGAGGAGGTTGGATTAGTTTGCACATCTTTCTCAACTCAGACTCGAATGACCTACAATGCTTAATTTTGCTGTTATGTCTCTTCTTGTTCATTTTCAAATGTTTTGAGCTGGGAATCGATTTACCATGATTAAAACGACCACCATGTTTCTTCAGTAACGGTTCCCTTTCTTTTCTCTACTTCCCTCTCTGCTCTGCTGGCAGGAAGGTGAGATCCTCACTGTATTTTTACATTATTAGGTGCTGTCCGTTCTGTTCTGACTCATTGCAACCTACTGCACAACAGAATGAAACACAGCATTCTGCTGAACCGTCTTGCATCAGCCTCACAATTGTGATATTTTAGCCCGCTGCGGCTGTCTCTGTGTCAGTCTGTCTCTTTAGGCATTTTCCTCTTTTTCTCTGACTCTCCATTTTACCAAGCATGATAGCCTTCTCCAGGGACTGGTCTCTTCTGAAGACATGTCCAAAAAGACAAGTTATCAGAAGGAGCGAAGTCTAGCCATCTTGGCTTCTAAGAAGCATTCTGGCTGTATTTTGTCCAAGATAGATTTGTTTGTTCTTCTGACAGTCCATGGTGGTGGCTGTGTGCCGTGGAGTGGGTTCCAACTCACAGTGACTCTGTACAGGGTTTCTGAGGCTGTAAATCTTTACAGGAGCAGAACGCCTCATCTTTCTCCTGTGGAACAGCTGATAGTTTCGAACTGCTGACCTTGTGGTTCACAGCTTGATTCGTCCATGGTACTTCCAATATTCTCCTATAACTCAAATGCATCAATTCTTCTACAGTCTTCCTTATTCATTGCCAAACATTCACAAGCATATGAGGCTATTGAAAATACCATGGTTTCTGTCAGGTATACCTTAGTCCTCAAACAGACATCTTTACTCTTAAACATTTTATAAAGAGGGCTTTTGCAGCAGATTTGCCTAATGCAATATGGCATTTCAATTTTTGACTGCTGCTTCCATGATTGTTGAGAGAAGCAAAATGTCCTCTTTGCTTCTAGCAAGCAAGATTGTATCATCTGCATATGGCAGATTGTTAATAAGTCTTCCTCTGATCCTTATGACACATACTTCTTCATATAAATCAGCTTTTCAGATTATTTGCTCAGCACACATATGGAATAAATGTGGTGAAAGAATATAACCCCGGAGCACACCTTTCCTGATTTTAAACCATTCAGTATCCTCTTGTTCTGTTCTAATGGGTGCCTCTTGGTCTATGTACAGGTTCCTCATGGGTACAAATAAGTGTTCTGGAATAACCATTCTTTGCAAAGTTATCTATAGTTTACCATGGTCCACACAGTCAAAGTCTTTGCAAGGTCAGTAAAGCACAACTAAACATCTCTCTGGTTTTCTCTGCTTTCAGCCAAGATCCATCTGACATCAGCAATGATATCCCCAGTTCTATATCCTCACCTGAATCAGAAAAGCTGTGGAAATGCTCACTTAGACCATATTAAGAGCAGGAACTTGGTGGCAGATGGGACTGGATTGAAATGTTGGTTCTCAACCTGCCATTGGATGCGCCTCACTTTCCATCACACCTGAGTTTTCTTGGTTGTTGTGAGCCACCAAGTCGATTCCTACACACAGCTCTCCCATGTGACAAAGTAGAATTGCCCCCCATAGGCTGTAATCTTTATGGGAGCAGATCACCAGGTTTTTCTTCTGTGAAGTCATTGAATGGGTTCGAAACCCCAGCCTTTAGGTTAGCAGCTGAGCTCATAACTGGGATTCCTTCATGCTGTCTATAAACACCTTATAATCAGTTCCACCTAGTTTGTATTTTTTAACTCTCTAATTTCTTCCTGTAGATTATTATTTTGTGCGGCATTAGTGGGCATTTCAGTGCTAATGGAAACAAGAAAAATGTCAACAAGACATCTGTAAAAACTACTATCAAGCCAATCTGTCATGGCACTGAAGAGGCCACTGAGAATGTTCAATTCATTTCTCTAGTAAGGTCAAGAGAATATTGAGCCTAGAAAGGAACAGAGGATGGAGAGGTAAAGGATTTTGCAAAAGTGAATAAGCAGGCAGAGAATGAGACCAGGGCATATAAACAGGACCAGATGCAATCCAGTTCCTGATTTCCCACCAGCCTTACCATTCTTTCTTACATCCCTAAAGTTCTTAGGTCTTCAAACCCAAAGACCTAGCCTTAGTGCATGCTTCCTGTGATCTCTCAGAGAATTTTTAACCTTGCTGACCACCTTTTCCCACCTTTGTTCCAGGCTATTCTCCCATCAGCGAGGTCATCTAACCAAATGGCCTACACACATGGACTGAAGTCAGACTGCATGGGCCCTGGGTTTTGCCTGTTTGTTTCCTCATCTGTAACATGGGTATAATAATAATATCTACCCCATTGTATTGCCATGAAGAATAAATGGTTTGCTAGATGTGACAATGCAATCAGATATAATAATGCAATAAGAGATCTTGGTGTACTTATTTTCCATGTTGTCTCCTATCCTCTAGTACATTTCGCCCACCATATCTCCTATGTTCTGCAGGTGGCCCCCAAGTCTTATTCTGTCTTTTCTCTAGAAATACCCCTTTAGAGAATTAGTTTGCCAAATTCCAGGTATCACCCGAGTGTTGGTGACTCTCAGATCAGTCTCTGCGGCCAGAACCCTTAGAAGTCTCACTCCCTTTTCTGCTTCCATATGTCACTATTAGCTCAAGTCTAACACACCTCAACTAAGCCCAGTGTCTTCCCCTGTAAGCTGTACCATCTTTCTCCCTACCTACTTAAGGTGCTCATGCACTTAAGATGTGGAGACTGACTCTCCCAACCTCCATATTTTACCTTCTTCTTCTCCCAATATCCAATTTATTACCAAGTCCATTCTTCCGTCAACTTATCCCACTGCCGTGACCACCCAGGCCATCCTGACTAGGACAAATCATCGCCATAGCTGGTCAACAGAGCTCCCTTCATTAAGGAAAGTGCTTCTCAGCTGGGCCTAACTGGTGTGCATGTGGGGATAAGGGTAAGGGGCAGCACAGACTAGCTAGGAAGCTGGTCAGACTTGAACCCTGCAAAGTACACACAGCATCACCAGCTCTCAGGCTCTGAATGTTGGCTGTCTACCCCATACCCAACTCTGACACAACTCAACACACCACCCTACACATACACACACATCCACATGCATGCACACACTTCCAAGGTAGCTTCTGTTGGGGGAAGGGACTCCTGACTCAGGAGTCTCCACAGGAGACTCATGATGCTCTTCCAAATTGAATCCATCCCCCAAACATTCCCCAACAGAGTTCTCAAGACTCCTTAAGAGCCTACCTCTCCCTGCCTTTGTCACATCTTTCTCAGGCCATCCCTAATCTGCCTTGCTTTCACTGCCCATCCCCCCCAATTCCCCCAACCCCGTCAGTATCCATCTTCTCAGTATCCTTCAACATACTTGCACACTTTCTGCCTCCTTACCTGAGATGCTGCCAAGCCTTGCTATTCAATCCTTTTAATCCTCCCAGTCCTAGCGGAACACTTCACCTCTGTTATCGTTTGTCTAACTGCCCCATCACGCCTGAGTCTTCTTGAAACACCTTATAATCAGTTCTACCTGGTGTCTCTGTTACTCTCTGTGTCTATGGTGTCTAACACTAACCTTTTTAAGGGCAGAGGCCATTCTTGTCTCTAATCACAGTGCAGGCTGAACTCAGTGGAAGCTAGCAAGTCCTTAGATAAATGCTATTTGATTTATTTCAAAGTTCTTCATCAAAACTTAACCTCTTATCCCATGCCCACTGCCTGCCTGGGATGAAATTGTTCAGAAGAATTTTAACAGCCAGAATATAACTGGATGTGGGAAAAAATGTTGTTCTCACAAGTCTTTATCTGCTGAGAATACTGTGGCACCATAGGATAAGCACTGGACTGCTAACCACAAGGTCAGTGGTACAAACCTAGCAGCCACAACTCAGAAACCCTATACAGGGTCACTGGAGTCCTGGTGTGGTGCTGTGGGCTAATGCGCTAGATTGTAAAGTCGTTTGAGCCACAAGACCAGTGGCTCAAGCTCACCAGCCACACCTTGGAAACCCTATACAGGGTCGCTATGGGTCAGAACTGACTCAACGGCACTTAACAACAGCAGTATACAGGGTCACTAAGAGTCAGAACCAACTTGGTGGCACTAAACAACAGTAACATCTAGGAATAAAGCTGAGTTTGTGCCAGCAAGTGAAAAACTGACTACCCTAGAGGAATGCGTTGTCTTTGTACACACTGATGTTTTCACAATAGAGGCTGATGATGAAACTTACCTGCAGGCTCTTCTTTCTTTTGCATAAATCCCCTGCCATCAACTCACAAAAGGCAACACACCAAAGGAACCACACGGTGCATTGCTGTGTTCTTTACCTTCTTCCTCTTGGTGGAGGTCAGTGCCATCCCTTAGGTCTTCATCCACCCATGGACGAGCCCTGGCTGTAGTTTGAGGTTCCGCTTTCCTTTGCTCGTGGCTTCTCTCAGCATTTTTAAAGACCCACACAATCAAAATGCAGACAACAGCTACCAAGACAGGCGTAAGGGAGAACATGTTCTTGTGTCTGATCCGGATCCTCTTACACTGGCATTTAAATAAACAGAGGCAGGACCAGGGAACGCTGGGAGCTGCCTTGAAGCAGAGAAGAGGTGTGTAGTGAGGAAGGAACAAAGTACAACGCTTTCTGACTGTAAGGACTTAGCAGAGGAGCAAAGATCACAGATAAAGGGGTGTGGCATGTTCACTTAATTTTTTTAAATTTTGCATTCAATCAATCAATACATTTCCAAGACATGATTAATCACTTTAAGGTCCCAGATCTTGCTGGCAATCAGAGAAGACATTAAATCCTTCTTCTACATCACTTTTCTTGGACAGCAGTGTGTCTTCAACTTGCCTCTGGCAAGTTTTTGATAAAACAGATTTTCTGGCAGAAACAGCATTGGTTGTCTACATTTTAAAAAACTTCTTGGTTTTAAAACATTTTCCTCCAGTTGTTTGTCTTTGTAAGGCAGTGTAGTGAGCCAACATATAGAGGCAAACAATTCTCTTGCTTTACAGTAGAGAAAAATATTCACCAGCTGGCTCCTCGGAAACCCTATACAGGGTTGCTGTGGGTCAGAACCAACTAATAGCACTTAGCAACTACAATAACAACAAGAAAAGTGATAAATAGAAATAAAATGACTGATTAATTGCATCATCCGTTAATAAGCAGGGATATTTTAGTGGGGTGTTGAAGGATACATAGTGTGAGTAAAACAGAGGGAGAAATCCTATATATTTATCTGTAAAGGAGCCCAGTGGCACGGTGATGAAGTGCTCAGCTGCTAACCAAGAGGCTGACATTTGAACCCATCAGCTGCTCTGCAGGAGAAAGCTATGCCAGTCTGCTTCCGTAAAGAGACCCTAGCTAGACAGAGCAGTTCTCCTCTGTCCTAGAAGGATGCTATGAGTCAGAATTGACTCAACGGCAAGGGGTTTTGGTATTTATATGTGTTTGCATATTCATAGTGTTTCTTGGAAGACTATATTATAAATTAAAAGCAGTGGTTTTATCAGCTGCTCTGTACTAGTTTTGCGATTTATTGTGAGTTGTAGTTCAAATGAAAAAGCTAAAAAGAAAAGATTACTTGTTTTGGAGAATGTGCTAACTGGACAGATGGGGGCTAAGAAGGGAGAATTTTTACATTTCACAATTTAAAAAAATTTAACTATTATGACTATATTGCCTATTCAAAAATTAAATAAACAGCAAATATTTTAATAGTACGTTTTGTGATAGACAAGTATGTGCTTATTGTATATTGTACTGGATCGACCTAACACTATTGTTCTTGCTAAGTGCTGTGGAGTCAGTTCCGACTTGTAGCCACCTCGTATAGGATTTCTGAGATTGTAAATGAACTCCTGGTATGGTGCTGTAGGATAAGCACTGGGCTGCTAACCATAAATCAGCAGTTCAAACCCACCAGCCACTCCTTGGAAACCCTATAAAAGTGTGTATGAGTTGGGACTGATTTGTTGTTAGGTGTCATCATATACAGTTCTATACATAATACAACGAATGACCACCAGGTCCAGCGTCATCCTCACAATTGCTCCTCTGCTTGAGCCCATTGTTTCTGCCATGGTGAAAATCCATCTCATTGGGGGTCTTCCTGTTTTTCTCTGACCCTCCACTTTACCAAGCATGATATCCTTCTACAGGGACTGGTCCTTCTGATAATACGTCCAAAGTATGAGAGATGAAGTCTGACCATCTTGCCTTCTAATGAGCATTCTGGTTGTAATTTCTTCCAATATAGATTTGTTCTTCTGACAGTCCATGGTACCTTTAATATTCTTCTCCAACACTGTAACTCAAATGCATCAATTTTTTGTGGGAACAGAAAACCTCCTCTTTCTCCTGAGGAACAGCTGATGGGTTTTGAAGTGCTGAGTTTGTGGTTAACAGTCCAGTGCTTCCCTTACAGTACTATCAGCCCTCCTTGGTCCTAACTGCATAGCACTGTGTAAAAGATTGCAGCTAAAGTTCATTATGAAAAACGGGCTACCCACCATGCTCACGGCTCATGTAGAAGAAATTGCATTACATAAAAGGGCTTCAGGAGCGATCGTGTGTAGTTTCATGCTGTGCCATCCCACCTGACCACAGCTCAGCTCATGCATGTGATAGGTGGCAGCTCAGTCTGCATCTTTTCATTCCATGCAATGTATAGAATAAGGCACTCGGTAGCCAGAGGGAGCAGAATGAATGCACAGGAGAAGCCGGGCTGATAAGGAAGCCATCCCACACAGCCCCCAGGAGAAGGAGGGGGGCCATGGCTACGTCAGAGCCCAGCAGCTTCCAGTGGGGCCCGGTCTCCATCCAAGTGTCCTTGCAAGAGACCCACTTGAGAGGTCAGAATGGTCTCTGACCTTGCAACCACACAAGCCCAATTCATCCAGTGCTGGGAATGGGATGAGACACAGAAAAAATGGGGTAGGGATAGGATTGTTGATAGCACAGTGGTGGGTGGAGGGATGGGAAGCTCCTTGGTCAGGATAGAGTACCAATGGCTCATGGTGTGCAGAGTGGGGAGGGAAAGGGCTTCTAGGCAGAGAAAGATCATAGACAAAGGCCTGTGATTTGAATGTAGGAGCTGGTACCTACAGGGATGGAAAGGAGGAATACAGAAAAGAGTTTGAAAACTTACAGACACAGCAGAAGGACCTGACGGTTATTACCAGCTCAAGAGCAAGGAGCAGATGGTGGCGGGACACTGAGGCTGTTAATGGTGATTCCTGGAGGGAAGGTGCACACATCTCCAAACTTCCTTTGTTGTTGTTAATAAGTGTCATGGAGTCGGCTCCTACTCATAGCAACCCTGTGTAGGTTCTATGAGGAGCAACTGGTGGATTTGAAATGATGACCTTGTGGTTAGCAACAGTCCAGTGCTGATCCTATCTACAGCACTGTAGTAGCCAAAAATACAAAAGCCAAACCTAACTCATAGTAACCTTGTATAGAGTTCTTCTTTCTTCCTCAAAGTAGCTCATGGATTTGAACTGCCAGTCTTGCAATTAGCAGTCCAGTGCTTGTCCTGCAGAGCAACCAGGACTCCTTCCATTGTTGTTGTTGTTGGGGTCTTTCTGTAGTGACCTTTTCTTCAAAACACCTAGCAGCTCTTGTGTTAGCCAGTGTGGTCACTTCTCTTATAAGCTGGCCGTTCTGGACACTCCTTTTTCATACCATGTGATCCTCATGAAATGACCTCAGTAGTCAGACCTCCCATGGACCATGAAGTCAAGACAGTAAAATCCTTTATGGTTACCACCCAACAATATAGTAAAACCTCTGATAAAATGATCATTTCAGAAACAGAGCTTGTGGTTTGGGCAGAGAGATGTCATATTATGACTTTGGGTAGGCCCAAACATACCTCTCTGAGTGGTTTTAGAGCATCCTGTAAGGAATGTAATAATCTTCCCTCATCAAGAAAGGAGGGGACTTGGGTGCTGAGAGTAGGTACAGTGGAAGGTGATATTGTTAAGTGCTGTAGAGTCAGTTGCAACCCATAGTATAGGGTTTCTGAGGAGCAGCTGGTGAGCTTGAACCGCCAGCCTTGTGGTTCAAACAGACCTTACAGCCCAGCACATTAACCCACAGTACCATATCAGGACTCTGTAGTTTTCAGGAAAATGCACCCCTGCCAGCCACCTCCAAACTGAAGTGTCCTCAATGTCCCTGCTTTCTCTGCAGCTCCCAAGCCCAAATCACAAGATCTCTCTGGTTGGCCCATCCTCAACCCATCTCCATATCTCTTTGGGGTCGTTTCAAATGTCTTCGGATATTATCTTGTGGTTTGTGAAACTGGAAGAAAAGGGGGGGGGCTGCCTATTGCAGGCCTCTCTCTCACTTTTTAAAAAACAGACTTTATTTTTTTTTATAGAGAGCAGGTAGAAGTTTCCAGAAAAACTACACAGGAAGCACAGATAATTCCCACTTAGTGCCCCACCCCCTCCCGCACATCTTCTGGCTTTCTAATTGCTGTTTTTGTGTTGTTCTGATTTTTTTCATTTATTTTGTCAGTTTGTTCCCAGAAATTTTCCATAGTTTTCTCTGTTTTCCTTGATTTCATCTGTAGTTTTCCTAATTCTTTCTCACAATCCATTCAAGTTGCCTAGTTAGCATTATTGTAAATTCCTTATCAGGTTATTCTGATGCTATTTCTGGTGTTACATCTTCTGGCTCTCTATTTTGTTCACCTGTTTGAGTTGCTCTCTCTTTTGTCTTTATGTAAGTTAAAATTGTCTGTTTACTCTGAGACATTGTGGCATCATATTTATATTTATCTGATAATTGTATATTGATGTATTCTCAGGTAGTCATCACCTGAATCTTGGTGGATGTGCTAGAGACTGGAAGTGCGAATACAGTTAGTTCTCTGGCCAACTGATTGGAAGAGATCTGTATTTGTGCCCATTCCAAAGAGACGTGACCCAACAGAATGCAGAGATCATCAGACAACATCTTTAATATTGCATGCAAGTAAAATTTTGCTGAAGATAATTCAAAAACAGATGCAACAGTACATCAAAAGAGAATTGACAGAAACTCAAGCTGGATTCATAGGAGAACGTGAAACTAAGGATATCATCACTGATGTCAGGTGGATAGATCTTGGCTGAAAGAAGGAATACCAGAAAGATGTTTACTGGTGTTTTATTGACTATGCA